GAATAATCATTGACTAACGGTCACTAAACACCACACGTTTTTCTAAAACGTACGTCACACCAGACCGCATCTCACTATCTCCGAATAATCATCATGAACGGACACAAAACACCACACGTTTTTCTAAAACGTACGTCACACCAGATCGCATCTCACGATCTTCAAATAATCATTGGCTAGCGGTCACTAAACACCCCACGTTTTTCTAAAACGTACGTCACACCAGACCGCACTTCACGATCTTCAAATAATCACTGGCTAACGGTCATTAAACACCACACGTTTTTCTAAAACGTACCTCACACCAGACCGCACCTCACAATCTTCAAATAATCATTGGCTAGCGGTCACTAAACACCACACTTTTTTAAAACGTACGTCACACCAGATCGCATCTCACTATCTCCGAATAATCATCATGAACGGACACAAAACACCACACGTTTTTCTTAAACATACGTCACACCAGACCGCATCTGGTGATCTCCGAATAATCATTGGCTAGCGGTCCCTAAACAACAACTTTTTTCTAAAACGTACGTCACACCTGACTGCATTTCACGATCTCCAAATAGTCAGTAAACACCACACATTTTTTGGAATTTGTATTATGCCGTTTTTGGAAGATTGTGATAAAGTGGGAAACGCTGTAAATCTTTTTATACCTTGCTCTAAAATAAACCAAAAAATTTAAATAAGACAAATTCGTCCTAAAAATTCTGTGTTTAAAATAAAACAACTTTTAAAATATTTTAGAGCCTTGATTTCCACAGAGAATTATAAAAATTGCGAACCATTACTTTCTTTTTTAACCTTTCTTATGAATACAAATGTGCAAAGCTTTAAGAAAGTAAAAAGTCGCTATAATTTTTTTAGAAATATAAGAAGCCCTCTTTAATTAGGGGGAATTAATTTAAGTTTTACGCCGTGAAAAATGTAGGGAAATCCTTGTAAAAGAGTTTAAGCACTTGAATGAGATGCTTTCGTCAAATTTTCCGTTTTTTCCCTCGCTGAGTCGAGAGTGCATTGTGCTTTTTACGACTGTATCCTTTGAGAAGAAACAAATCTTTGCGTCTATGGACTGTTTGAGGCTTTACTACCGTTTCCACGGCCTTTTTTTTTATTTCCGGCTCCCTGCTCCTTTCAGGATAAACACACAAGCCGCACACTTATTTACACTTTAAAAAAAGACGGGGAAAATAAATAAAGAAAACACGACTAGAGGGCTCCTCCGGGCCTTTAGTCCAGAGGAAAAACATAATTTCCCTATAAAATTTAACGCACGTTGGGAGGAAAGGGTAGAAAGGGCCGGGTTATCAACTGGTCGTCTGACCTCTGCTCCTCCGAGGGGAAAAGTCCTGATTGCATGCAAATTTCTGATAAGAACACTCCATTCCCCCCTCCGTCAGGTCCCTGGTCCCATTTTGAAAATGCGACTTCGCGACACTGATTATTCCCGGATCCCTAGGCTATAGATCAAAAGTGAATTTATGTCCGGATGCTCCGGAGATATTGTCCCTCCTCTCCGAATCAGAAGGCCGGTTTTATTTTAAAAAAGGGAGATTTATGTTTCGCGTTTTTTAATGTTATCTTTAGTGTTATTTGCATTTATTAATGAGTTCATAAATAACAGATGAGATGGAAAATGAAAACAAGTTTTATATAACCTTAAATCAGTCAATAATTACTTAATATACTATATTTTTATAATCCAATTTAAAGAGAATGTCTCGAGAACAGACATCAATACCTCATGACGTTATTCTCCATGTCAAATCTCAATAATATTCTAAATGCAATTAATTGATCTTTATGTAAAGTATTGGTTGAGATAAAAAATTCAGTGTCACGAGCGGGATTCGAACCCAGCACCTTCTGCTCAATACGCCGCTTCTCTAGCCACTTGAGCTATCGTGACAATGGTAACAAGTGGTTTAGAGCAGCGGCGTATTGAGTAGAAGGTCCTGGGTTCGAATCCCGCTCGTGACACTGAATTTTTTATCTCAACCAATACCTTACATAAAGATTAATTAATTGAAAGATGTTATTTGATCAATCGGACCAAGAAATCTAATGAATTTAATATTCTAAATATTTCACTTCTTCTGTTATTTCAACCTTTTACAGCTTAATTTCATCCAAGTTCCTCGTATCACAAAAAATATTAATTCATTTCTTTTTAATTGTAACTTTAAGAAAACAAACACGTGCCAATATGTATAATAAATCGTTACCAACAAACTAACATTAATGGGCTTTGAAGACATTGTTATGGTTCGGTCTGGGTTCGACTCCCGCCACAGCCCATGCCATTTTAATTGAAAATTATTTAAAAGAACTAATGTAAAGTGATAACGAATAATCATCCAGTGCAACAGGATTTAATTTATTTAATATGAAACAATACTGGTGAAAATACTACAAACTTCAGTACTTTGTCTGCTTAAGGTAACATAAAAAAATATAAATAAAAGTTTTAGGGTTTGTAATCCTCTGTTTGTTGGTGTAATCAAATTCTCAGAAAGATTAAGTTTATAGAAATAATAAAATTTTACAGTGGTATGTTTGTTGTCTTTCTTCGCTCTGCTTATATCCCTGACCAACCACTGAAGTTGGCGTGAAGGTTAAACGTCTGACAGACCAACTCCGCAGGATAGTCAGACCAAATTATACAAACTCCCCTAGTTTGGCCAGAAAATCGACTCATTTTGACTCACCTATATTATACATTGATGGGTTTTTTTCTTGCCTCACCCTGTTTATCACCCTGACAAACCACTGAAGATGGCGTGAAGGTTAAACGTCTGACAGACCAACTCCGCAGGATAGTCAGACCAAATTACAAAATCTCCCCTAGTTTGGCCAGAAAATCGACTCATTTTGACTCACCTATATTATACATTGATGGCTTTTTTTCTTGCCTTACCCTGTTTATCACCCCTTACCCTGTGTTATGAGAAATGTGGATAGTATTATTTATGGATTATGGTAAAGATTCTTTGTGGTAGTCATAAAGCGTTCGAGTACTATGTCGAAATATTGGATTTTTTTCAGTATTTTAATCTTGGTAGGCCTCTACCAGGTGGACGGAGGGGATGCAAATCACGTCAGGACCCAAAAAATTTAAATAAAATCCCAAGGGTGTTTGTTGAAATATAGAAAGCTCTCGAACGTGGGTGGAATTTTTCCCACCCCGTCATTACTCCTTCCCGAGGGGGTTTGGAATGTCATTACTGGATACAGCGGATTTCATTGTCGCCTCCGGTTAACCCCTTGCCTCGAATGTGTGGGCGGTGCTGGCACAGTCAGCAGATTGTGCACTTTATTGGCCGTGGGGGTGGCTTTGGTGATAGCAGTAGTTGCACCAATCCAATACCCTCCCGCCCCTAAACACTGCCCTCCGCTGATTTCATCAGCCGCTTTATGAGCCGGCCGGCGGCAGTTTTCCCTCTCGGGCTTGAATTAAAACCTGGCCCTGTCGTTTACCCCGGGGAAATTGTTTTTCACCGGGCCCCAACCAATCAATTGATTTCGGTTTTTATTTTCGGCCAACATTGAAATTTCAACCGCGATTCCCACTCCTTTTATATTAATTTACCAACTGGGGGTAAATTGGAAAACACTACTTTACGGCTTAACGTTACAAGTTCCCACTTACTGTTGACATTGGTCTTTCAACAAACCGACAGACAGATGAAAATCATATTTAACAGGTCAATATTTAATTTTATCTTATACTTATCCATAGATCATGAAAATATGGTTAAAAACGTTATTATCTTCTGTTAGCATGAAGTATAAATTATATTATATTCTCAGTTGGTTTCTTCCTCTTACTCCTTGCATGCTCTTTGCTTTGGGGTAAGGATGGAATATCTGAATTTTTCCTGAGTGTAGTGGAGTGACGAAAGGGTGTCTCTTCCGCCCTATATTGTTTTCCCTTTTCATTGACGAACTTCTGTCTGTCCTTGAGTGCAACGACCGATTTAAAACCTTATTAAAATACTTCACAAGTCAAAGAAGACAATGCGTTGAACTCAACGTAAAACCTTGAGCGCTGTGGTTAATGTTGATTTTGCATTTCCAGGAGTCCCCACGTCACAATATGGCGTCCGAAGGAAGCCGAATATACACGAACTCAACAATTTCCGACCGCGAATGGACTGCAACCTGTGCGGAATTAGGCTTATATATACATAGCTGGGCGCACACTAGGCTGGTAGCGCGGCACGGAGCCGGGTTCCAGAAGAATGGCAACTTCCTCCGGCTACACGCCGCCGCCTCGCCACCGATCTAGTGTGCGCCCAGTTATGTATATATAAGCCTAATCCGCATAGGTTGCAATCCAGCTTTTGTTATTAACAATAATTCCAGCAGGCCTTGAGAATCACATTCCTCGGGTGTTGGTAGTCCGGGGTTAGACTTCGGTCTTATCCGTCCAGATGCCGAGGGTGGTCTCCGGGTGCTGTCAACAGCTGGTCATTTCAGCACCCAACGCATGCCATTCCTAAAAATAGACCCATGCATACTCTCACTCACTCTTCATCATATTCTTTCTTATTTACGAACCAGTCACACAGGGTAGTGGAGTACTTGGAATTCCTCCATCACTCTTTAAACCTATTAACAACTAACCTAATTGATGGTCGACAGGGTACTCAGTATTCCCCATCGGCCCAATCAACACATTCACTCTCAACACATGCTAGGTATACAGAACGATCAGCGCTATATACAATAAAACAACCCTGATTCCTCCAAAAATCGGAAATTGGGAACAGATACTCGCTGCCTTGATGCGATTCTCATATTAGGTGGCATTCCTATACTCTTTTTTCATGGAGGTGCACATATTTCTCACAAAAGAAAGTGTCCGTTTGTCAACCTCACATGGCTTATCTTTAATCGGGAGTCAGATTTTCCGAGGGCTAATAGACAGTGTTCTTGATCCCACCGACACTGCCACAATCTTTTAATCGTGTTTTTTGTTTTGTTTTTAGCGCCTGAGGTTCAGGTCATGGCCGGCGTCCCGGTCGACCTCGTCCGACCTTTTCCTTACTCTCCAGAGGTATATGTGCGGGTATCCAGACAACAACCACCGTTTTGTCGAGATCAAATTCATGGTATTTCTCCAGCAAGAGCACAATGAGATGGTCGAGAAACTGTCTCAGACAGCAGTAACCGCGCTGAGGGAATCGGAGAAAACTAGGTAGGTAGATTTTTTCTTTATTTTTTAATTATGATTATTGCGTTATTATTATAGTTATGCGCATTATTATATTAATGCGGTCTGATGTGACGTAGGTTTTAGAAAAACATTTTCTTTATCGTGCCAACGTTTCGATCTTTAGTGAGATCATCTTCAGAGCCTGGGAATTATAAACATTGTTTAAATATTACAAACACATATAGGAGGTGAAAAAATGAATTTATCCATTGCTAGAAAATTTTAGATAAAAAAAAGAATTTATAAAATCCTACAATATTTTAGATTTAAAAAATGAATTTATACAATGCTAGAAAATTTTAGATTAAAAAAAATGAATTTATACAATGCTAGACAATTTTAGATTAAAAAAAAGAATTTATACATTGCTAGAAAATTTTAGATTATAAAAAGCATTGTATAAATTCATTTTTTTTTAATTGTCTAGCATTGTATAAATTCATTTTTTTATCTAAAATTTTCTAGAATTGTATAAATTTTACCTCCTACATGAATTTGTAAAATTTAAACAATGTTTATAAGCCCCAGTCCCTGAAGATGATCTCAATAAAGGTCGAAACGGAAAGAAAGTGTTTTTCTAAAACCTACGTCACACCAGACCGCATCTCAAGATCTCCGAACAACCATTGGCTAACGTTCACTAAACACAACACTTTTTTCTTATATTAAAATATATATTGTTACAATATTTAATTTCTTTGTAGTCATGTTAGGAAAATGAACCACCCTGAATAAATTCAGAACCGAGAATCCCTGGGTCTTTATAAATTGCCCCAGTTTAACGATTTCCGTTTTATTTGGAAAGCCATTAAAACTTTTTTACGCCTGCTAATCATTGGGGGTCGGAATGTTTACGATCTTGGCTTCTTGATTTAATTCCCAAGGGTAATGAACTTTAATAAACTAATAGTACAACTTTTACCCGTGTAACTAAAGAGAGCTTTCATGACTTGACCAATGCGGCTAATTTTTGCCAAATCATATTTTAAATCAAAGGTGAAAATCTAATTAATATAACTTTTTTGCGCGCATTGCGAGGGTGCGTGCATTTCATGATCGCTCCGCATTGAAGAGTTTTTCAAGGCTGAATTGCTTGCGAATTGGCACGCGTGTGAGGTGGTACGCGACAGGTTCGCCTTCTTGTTGGAGAGATACCATGAACTGGAACGTCTTGGTAAAACGGTACTTGCCTGGACACATAGGTCTGCAGGTACAGAAAAGGCGGACGAGTCGGCTAGACCACGAGCACTGTCTATAGTACCTCGGAGTATCTGATGTGTAAAAGAAGGGTCATCCTCTCCCCATTGAGAATAGGCCATGCGAGGTTGGATACTGGATGGATACTTACTTTTGAACCAAATTCGATGTAGGTGTCCGCCAAGAGGAGAACGATTGCTTGATATGTTCCATCTAGTTGAAGGGTGCCTCTATATAGAGAATGCGGCTACCTGATCTGTGAATCGTGCTTGAGCTCGGCATCGAGTATCTGAGTCTCTATCCCGATTTTTCGAGGAGCTGTTGTTTTATTGTACTATTGTTTTGTGTCCCTGTGTGTTGAGAGTGAATGTGTAGCGTGAGAGGGCCGATGGCTGAATGTTGAATATCCCATCGACATGAACTGGTAGGTCTTGGTAAAACGGTAGTTCTTCCCTGGACATATAGGTCGGTATGTAGGTGTAGAAAAGACGGATGAGACGGCATAGCCGGGACGTCCCAACCTTCGGACATAACCACCGCGATCCGGGAACTCTGACGCAAATAAAAGCAATATGTATGGGTAGGCAAAGCACTTGCATATCACGAGCACTGTCTACAGTACCTCGGAATATCTGACGTGGGGAAGAAGGGTCATCCTCTCCCGATTGAGAATAGGCCATGCGAGATAGACATATACTTTTGGATACTTGGATACTTACTTTTTAACCAAGTCTGGTGTAGGTGTCCGCCAAGAGGAGAAAGATTGCTCTATATGTTCCATCTAGTTGAAGGGTGGCTCCATTTAGAGAACGTTTAGGCCATCCGATTTGGGAATCGTGCTTGAGCTCGGCAGCGAGTATCTGAGTCTCTATACCGATTTTTCGAGGAACTGTTGTTTTATTGTAGTTGTTGCCTGGCAGATAGGTCTGTAGGTATAGAAAAGGCGGACGAGACGGGATAGACCGGGACGTTTCAACTTCCGGACATAACCACCTTGATCCGGGAACTCTGACGCTAAAAAACGCAGTAAAACATGATTAAAAGTAAGTGTCCACGTCGGTGGACCGGGTAGGCCATGTGCACTGATTATAGTACCTCGGAGTATCTGACCCGTGCAATAAGAGTCATCCTATCCCGACTGAGAATAGGCCATGCGAGGTTGAAATATGGATACTTACTTTTGCCTAGGTGTCCGCCAAGAGGAGAAAGATTGCTCGATATGTTCCCTCTCGTTGGAGGGTGGCTCCATATAGAAAACGCGTAGGCCACCCAACTTGGGAACCGTGCTTTGAGCACTGCAGCGAGTATCTGAGTCTCTATCTGATTTTTCGATGAAAAGGTTGTTTTTATTGTATATAGTACTGATAGTTTTGTGTCCCTAGCGCGTGTTAAGAGTGAAAGTATTTATTAGAGAGAATGTATGCATTAGGTTGAATGTGTGGTGTGACAGGGTCGATGGTGGAATATTGAGTAACCCATCGACTCTAAATTAATAACAATATCAAGTATTTCACCACCCTGAGTGAGTTGTGTGTAAATAAGAAAAAGTATGAAGAATTGTGATTGAGAATATGCATGGGTTTGTTTTTGGAGCTGGAGTTGGGTACTGAATTGACCTCGCTGCTGACAGCAACCGGAGCCCAACTTCGGTGGCTTTACGGATATGTCCGAGGTCTGACCCCGGGCTGTCAACACCCGAGGCCTGCAAGTAATGTATAAATTCAAATCAATTTAAAAAATAATAATTTGTAGTACATTACAACTACCTTAAAGTAGGTAATAAGTAACTGTGAGCAAGGTAATTGAAACAAAACAAAATTAAAACCAAGAGTGGAGAAAACACCCATTGGTATTACTCCAATGTTACAATAATATTGTTTGTTCAATTGATACGTGTGTCATTATNGCTTACGCCAAGAAAGGCTCCGGAACAGTACTGTCCCATCTCAAGGGAGGATGAAATAATGTCTACCATGCGGTGGCACTGCTGACAGTTGAGTGGCGGTTTCGAAAACCAAATTGATGGTCTGGGATTATGTTTTGAGAATTTAGAATCGGAAGAATTCTTTTCAGTAGGAGTTTTCTAAAATTTTACGCAAAGTAGGTAGTAGACTTATTGGCCTGTATGAAGTAGTACAATGTGTTGGCTTTTTTGGCTTAGGGAACATTCGAATTCGAGTGCTTCTAAGCTGTAGGGAATTCAAATCCAAAAGCCTAATTTAAACATACACGAATTTTACTTTAGTAGCATATATTTCATATCAACTCCTAAGTTTTTATTATAATTATTTATCCCAGCCCGGATGTAAGCGCTTTTTTTCCTCACTTCAGTCAGTACTGTGATGGACTTAAAAAATAAAACAGCTCCAATAGTCGTTTTATAAATTTGAAAATACTTCTGTGATCGCTTAGCACGCTGCAAAAACTTTGGTCAAAATTTTTAACAAGAAACCGACCAAATCTTCTCGTAACCGAGAACGATCCCACTTCGGCTAATTAAAAAAATAAATAAAAGAAAAGGAGTTGATGCCCGGTCGTAATTAGACGCCCGTTGGAAATGGAAATACAAAACGAAACACAAAAGAAAAATAAGAGAAAAGAATCCGGTGGAGGAGTAATATTCGGATGAGGAGTTGTAAAATCTTTGTTCTTTTCTCTTGATCTTTCCCCTGGCAAACCTAAATCTCCGGTCTTACCTTTTTTTGTTTCTAATTCCTATCGATTCGATAAAACCAGTCTAGAATATTTTTACATTTGTTTTCTTTGATTAAATAATTCAGTGCGTTTTGGGACAATGCTCTTATAAAGAAAGATGAATTTGGATCAAGTAAAGTATAATTAGAGCGAGAGAAAGAGAGGGGGGAGAGAGAGAGAGAGAGAGAGAAGAAGATGTTTTGTGCGATCATAATCACACACTTTTAACTTAAAAAGTAGAGAAAAGAAAGGGATCATACTTTCTTATGTAGTAAAAGGACCTAATAATAACTTACTAACAAACTGTGTCCGTTCTGTTTGGAGGGAGATGAGGTGTTTATACAGGAAAGATTTACTGGAATTAAGAATGGATAGAAGATTTGCATTGAATTAGCTGGAAAATATAGTGAGGTCGGTGAGATGGAATTTGGCTAGGAAGTATTTCCTACGGAAGGAGGGATAAAGCCAGATTAGAGCTGAATACAGGTGTGAGACTGGACATTCGGTTTGGGTGGTGCCGAATAAATCTGGCAAAACAGTTCACTTTTTAGTCGCTTTTATTGCTCTTCCGAAAGTCCACCTGTAAGTCCAAGCTGTAGTCGAAGTGGGGTAAGATGTTGGTGAGGGGTAGAGACCTGTTACGAGTGGTAGAGACCTGCGGAATTGAATGAGGGATGACAATGCAGCGACGGGAAATTTGGGAGATGTGTGGTTTCCAGGAAAAGTTTTGGGTCTAAGCTTCCTTCGTGTTTTTACTAGTGGAGCAGAAGGAAATAGGCTAGTTGTTCATAGTTGGAAGGAGTAATGGGGGGGGGGAGATTTGAGGAGGCTTCTGATATATACAGATATTTCATAATTGACAAAAATATATTTATTAAATTTTCATATTCTAAAAGTGTAAAATTTGAAGACTTTAAATAGTGACCCTGAGGCGAGCCCTAGACGATCAATTATATTGCGCAATATTTCTAACCGTTTAGAATTAGTATTGGATTTACACATCTACACAACATGGGCACATACAACGATGATCCCATCCGCAGCTTATGCAATGAGGAGGAGGAAACATACCACCCATATAATTTTTGAA